TCGCACATTGCAGAAACAATATGAGATATGTATCAGTTGTAACCATGGTGATATCCATCAATATGTGTCAGCAGTGAAACTTGTGATATCTTGTCAGCCAGTAACTATGGTGACTTATGTCTATTAAAATGTTAGCAGTAACCATGGTGACGATGTCTATTAACATGTTGGTAGAAACGATTTTGATATCTGGCTGATCAATATGTGAGCAGTAACCATGGTGATATCTTTAGTCAACAAGTCAATTGTAACCATGGAGACATCTTCAGCCCATAAGTGATGGAAGTAACCATATCTGCCAGTAATCATGGTCAGCTGTAACCATGGTGACAAGAGGTTCATTATCACAGCAAGAGGTTAGTCTTAGTCAGCAAAACTACACTTTTGTTGTGAGCCCGCTGTTTACTGTGACATCCAGGTCGACTCATCATATCATCAATACAGTGTAGGCATGACACCAATCACCTTCCTTAGTAGGGGATCCCCTGACCAGACCATGCCTACACTTCTGTTGTGAGCCCGCTGTTTACTGGACAAGGAGCATCCAGGTCGGATTGCCCAAGCACCTCCCTTGGTGGGGGTTCTCTCTGTTTCAACTCTTTGAAGTTAACTCTGTCCATATTCACAGCTAATTTTAATCCGTCAGTAAAGGACCTCCCTTGAGCCACGTACACAGATTCTGTATATTTAGACACAAACATTTTGATACCAAAGTTTTTAAAAAGTCTTATAAATAATAAAAGATCATAAAAAGACGCGTCTGAATTTGTTTGGCACAACCACTCATCAGTGACTTTTCAGAATGTCAAACATCATTTGATAGCAAAAGTAAAAACATTTTGTCAGCATAAACCACAATTCAATACATTTGATGCTCATTTACTAAAAACACAGGAAATAAGGAACCATATCTTCCTGATGATCATGATTCCACTAGAGGAGTGAGTGAGTGAGTGAGTGAGTGAGGCTGGAGTGAGGAGTGAGTGTTGGAGTGAGTGGGTGAGGTTGGGAGGAGTGAGTGAGTGAGTGAGTGAGTGAGGCATGTTATCTCACCACCCCTCTATGGAGGAATCTAGACAGATCGCACTTTTATCACCATGACTTAGTGTTGAATGAAACAAGTTGGACTAACTTCCTAAGCACCCCTACTGTTATCTGACTGGAGCAAACTTAGCTCCAACACTTGAAAGATCTGACTTTGGATCAGGTGATCTTGAACTCCATGATGTTTTTTTGCACCTTCGTTCTAACACAAGCAGCAGGTGTTAGACAGATCCTCTATGGTACATGACCTCTGAACCTGCCAAAACAAAGGCACTAAACTGTCCACCCAGTTTTCCAGGTCCTTCCCCCCACCTTCTTACGCTCACTGCTGCCTGAGTCTGTAGGTCAGCATGCTTAGGAACGCTTCCAGCACATCCCGAATTCAGAGAAGTCTTTGATGCATAGAAAGCCTTGTGGTCCACTGTGAGCTCTGTAGATCTCGGGCGGCAGAGATGGGGTGTCCCGGCCACATTGATGAGGGGGATGATGAGGAAGGAGGTCTCCTCGCCAGGAAAGCTGCAGGTTGTACATCAGCTTCACCTGCCAGATTCCGGACGCAGAGGCCGGTTCAGCTGCTTCGTTTGTGGGACCCAGTGTGTCCACTACTGAGGACCTTTCACATCATAATGATGCAGCTGCGATTACTGACTGGAGTCAATCCATGCCACCGAGATCACAAACTCAACGTCCCAGCTCCCCAAACATGACGCTTAATACCACATCATCATAGAAGCCGATAAGTTCGTAATTTCGAATAAAAGTTCTTTGGGATCAAAATCTGTTCCACCTACAAAAGAAAAAGACATCATCAATATATCCCTCAAAGAATAGTTGATATGCATCTAGCATACAATTATTTTTCAACTTATCTTATAATTTTCTCCTTTCTCTTCAATCTACTAAAACAACCATTCATCAGAACTAATAACTGATGATAAAAAAGAACTTGAATAAGTCTCTACTATTCTGCAAACATTATTTTCCCTACCATACACATCAAATGTTCTCAATCCTGGTCTAGTAATCTAGTAGTCCTGTGGTCTGTGGTTTAGAGGGCTACAACGATAGTGGTCTAGTGGGTACAGTGGTATAATGGTCTAGTGGTACAGTGGTATAATGGTCTTCAGTGGTCCAGTGGTATAATGATCTAGTGGTCCAGCGGTCTGTGGTTCCAGAGGGCTATAACATCCAGTGGTCTAGGGTACAGTGGCATAATGATCTAAGTACCGGTCCAGTGTTATGCCGTCAGTGGTCTGTTAGGCGGTACAGCGGTATAAATCGATCTAGTGGTCCAGTGGGCCAAGTGGTCTACTGGTATAATGATCAATGGGTACAATGGTAAGTGGTATAATGGGTCTAATTGGTACAGTGGTATAATGGTACAGGCTGGTAGGTACAGTGGTATAATGGTACAAATGGTCTAGTGGGGCTAGTATAATGGTCTAGCGGCAGTGGTAAAATGGTCTAATGGTACAGTGGTATAAATGGTCTAGTGGTAAAGTGGCATAATGGTACAGTGGTATAATGGTCTAGTGGGCTACGTGGTCTGGGTGGCTAGTGGTACAGTGGTATCATGGTCTAGTGGGCCATTGGACATGGCCAGTGGTTGAACAGGTGGTAGATGGGTAGTGGCACAGTGGTATGGTCTAGTGGGGCTAGTGGTACAGTGGTATAATGGTGGTCTAGTGGGATAGTGGTATAAATGGTCTAGTGGGCTAGTGGGTACAGTGGTATAATGGTCTAATGGTACAGTGGCATAAATGGTCTAGTGGTACAGTGGTCTAATGGGCTAGTGGTCTAATGGTACAGTGGCATAATGGTCTAGTGGTCCAGCGGCATAATGGTCTAGTGGTCCAACGGGCTAGTGGTATAATCGGTCCAGTGGCACACTGGTATAATGGTCTAGTGGCACACTGGTGATAATCTAGTCCAGAAGTGGCACAAGTGGTCCGATGGTCTGGTGCCCAGTGGCATTAGTGGTACAGTGGGTCAACGGTCTAGTGGTCAGTGGCATAATGGTCTAGTGGTACAGTGGTATAATTAGTCTTAGTGGTACATAATCGGCATAATGGTCTAGGAATTGCACACAGTGGTCTGATGGTCTACGTTCAGTCCAGTGCACAGTTGTACAATGGTCTAGGGTCCAGTGGTATAATGGTCTAGTGGCTACAGTGGTATAACTCAGTAGCGGTATAATGGTCTAATGGGCCACAGTAAGTACAAATGATCTAGTGGTACAGTGGTATACAGGTCTAGTGGTATAATGGTCTAGTGGTATAGCGGCATAAATCTAGTCCATCTAGGTATAACGTATTCAGTGGGCAGTGAGCATCAATGGTCCAGTGGTATAATGGGCATGGCAATTTGGTATAATGATCTAGTGGCATTGTGGTATAATGGTCTACTGGCATAATGGTGCATCGGCCAGTACGCATAATGATCTAGTGGGATAGCATAACGTGGTCTAGCAGTATAATGGATCTAGACAGTGGTATAACGGTCCAGTAAGAGTGGCATATCGGTCTAGTGTCAGTGGTACAGTGGCATAATGGTCTAGTACAGTGGTACAAGTGGCGGCAGCGTGGTACGGTAAGTTGGCCCAGCGCCAGCGGGTACAGTGGTCAATATCAATAATCGGCCAGCAACACCCATGTATATCAACAGTGGGTACATTGTTGGCTACAGGTATAATGGTACAGTGGTATAACCGTTCAGCGGTACAGTGGCATAATGGTCAGTGGCATAGTGGTGCAGTGGTAAAATGGTACAGTGGTATACACAGTGGTATAATGGTCCAGTGGCACAGGTGTAACGGTCCAGTGGCACAGTGGTATAACGGTCTAGTGGCAATGGGTTAGGCCCAGTGGCACAGTGGTATCATGGTCTAGTGGGAAGCGGTTTAATGATCTGGTAGCATGATGGTACAGTGGTACATTTGTATAACGGTCCCTGAAGTGGTACAGTGGTATAATGGTCCAGTGGGCTAGTGGTACAGCGGCATTATGGTATAGCGGCACAGCGGTTAAATGGCTAGAAATTAATTGGTGCAGTGGTACATAATGGTCTAGTGGCACAGTGGTCTAATGGCAACAGTTGGTATAATGGTCTAGTGGTACAGTGGTATACCTATTAATGGTGCAGATGGTACATGGTATAATGGTTCATGGGCCAGTGGTAGAGTGGTTTAATGGTCTAATCGTACAGTGGTATGCTGATTCAGTGGGCTAGTACACAGAAACACCATGGTCTAGAGTACACTAAGCCACAACGGTCTAGCGGTACAGTGGAACACGAGTGAATGGTACAGTGAGCACAATGGAGAGTGGAGACACAGGAGTCTAATGATGCACAGAGGCACAGACACACAATGGTCCTAGTGGTACAACCCAGCAGTGGCACAGTGAACAGTCGGCCAGACCGAACAGTGGCATAATCCCAGGACCCAGTGGCAGGATGGCACACCCAGTGGTATAATGATCCCAGTGGAAAAGAATGGCACCCACAGACAATAGAGACATAATCCACAGAGACACGAAAACATAATGCCCCAGTGGCACAGTAGTACAAATGGAAAAGCGAAACAGGAAGAATGGCCCAGTGGCACAGTGGCACAGCAGGTGGAGGTCTGCACAGAATGATATAATGGAATGGAAAAGAATGGTCTAGAAAGGACAGCCCCACAAGGACTACACAGCGGTACAATGGAGACCAGTGGCACAGGATAAATGGTCTAGCGAAACAATGGAGGAGGAAGGCCATAATGGAACAGCGGAATAAAGGAACAAAGAAAGAATGGAATATAATGGTATAGTGAGCATGGTAAACAGAGTGGCGGCCACAGTATAATGGAAGAAAAAGGGAAGCGGAAATGGTCTATGGAAAAGAAAGCAAATGAATGGAAATGAAAATATGGTAAGGAGAATGGAATGAATAATGGAAAAGGGTATAATGGAATAATGGAAGTAATGGAGAAGAAAGGTTATGGAATAATGGAAGAGAAGGAACAGTGGCAGAAAGGAATGGAAAGTGGTAAGTGGTAATGGAGAAGGAAGGAACAAAGTGGTTTAGTGGAAATAATGGTAATGTGGTATAAGGGTCTAATGGGCTGGAATGGGGAGAATGGAATGGCGGTACAGTGGAGAATGGAAGGAATGTCCAATGGTATAATGGTCTAGTGGTACAGGAATGGTATAATGGAATGGTGGAATGGGCTAGGGTAATGGAATGGTGGAATCAGTGCAGTGGTATAGTGGTATAGTGGTACTAGTGGTACAGTGGTATAATGGTCTAGCGGGTACAGTGGTATAATGGCCCAGTGGGTACAGCGGGCTAATGGCTCCAGTGGTGAACAGTGGGTATCCAATGGGCTAGTGGAATGGGCTAATGGTCTAGTGGGCCAGTGGTACAGTGGCTTAATGGTGTAATGGTACAGTAGTATAATGGTCCAATGGTGGTACAAAGGGCTAGTGGTACAGTGGTATAATGGTCTAGTGGTCCAGTGGTATAATGGTCTAGTGGTCAGTGCTAATGGGTGGTATAATGGGCTAGTAATAGGGTACAGTGGTATAATGGTCTACAGTGGTACAGCGGTCTAATGGTCTAGTGGGGTAGTGGTCTAGTGGTACAGTGGGATACTGGTCTAATGGCTTAAGTGGTACAGTGGGTATACTGGTCTAATGGTCTAGTGGTACAGTGGTATACTGGTCTAATGGTCTAGTGGGCTCACCTCCAGAGTCTGGAGTCTTCCTATGATTGTCTTTGGTTGGAGGATGGAATAGTGATGTTTTGGATGCATGTGTGTTTCCATGGTGATGATGTTGCCTGTAGCAACCTCCTCGACTTCGTGAAGGACCAGGATTCCATGAAAGTGGTCAGCCTCATAGAACACATTGGCCTCCAGTGTTTTCATAGGTCGATATGTACATGATACAGATTGGCGGGACAGTTCTGCAACTCCCAGCCTCACAAATGACTGGTAGAATGTTGGGTAGGCATCCTTGACCTTGGCTATCTTGTCCAGATGATGGTATTCGTTTTGCCAGTAGCTGCCAAGCCAGTCATGTCTGAAACATACACACAATTGTTTCTCAAACAAATGATGCCTTTAAATGTATTTTTATAATTGAAAACTCATTTTCATATCTAAAACATGAATATTGTCACATTCCACTGCCTTCTAATCCCTGCTGTTTAGTATGTACAGTAATTCTGTTCAGTATGTACAGTGTCCTCTGTTCAGTATGTGCAGTACTCTCTGTTCAGTATGTACAGTACTTCTGTCAATTCAGGCTGTGTAAGTTTATGGTTGAGAAGACAGCCTTCATGCCACAGGCTTGACAAGACACTGTACCAGCACAGAGAAACCAACTCAGGAAGGAGTGCACAATCACAACAAACCTTGCACCCTGCAGATCACATCAGAACTTTCAACTGGGTCCAGCAGATCACATCAGAACTCAGTCAACTGGGCCCAGCAGATCACATCAGAACTCAGTCAACTGGGTCCAGCAGATCACACATCAGAACTCAGTCAACTGGGCTCCAGCAGATCACATCAGAACTCAAGTCACAACTGGGCGCCAGCAGATCACATCAGAACTCAGTCAGCTGGGCCCAGCAGATCACATCAGAACTCAGTCAACTGGGTCCAGCAGATCACATCAGAACTCAGTCAACTGGGTCCAGCAGATCACATCAGAACGTCAGTCAACTGGGCCCACATCAGCAGATCACATCAGAATTGAATCCCGAACTCAGTCAACTGGTCCAGCAGATCACATCAGAACTGTCAACTGGGCCCAGCTCATCACATCAGAACTCACTCTTTCCATCAGGTATCCTTTATAGATGTTAAAAACAAATTCCTCACTTGTTGGAAATTACCGAATAAATAGACGCCTAAACTTGATTGATTATCTCCTGTTCACTATAGGCTCAAATTCTTTTTGCAAAGAAAAATACTTTTGGCTCATAGTTCTGAAAAGGATTTAGAAAATGATTCAGCCACAAGAGCTTCAACTCTTTAACAAATAAGAAGGCTCTTAATTAGTCATCATCATGAAAAGAAATTATGAATGAAAATCTGGGACTTAAATAATACTGTACTTGCAACAAAAGAAATTCACAATCTTCAGGAAGACACGGACGTGATTCTCGGGCAATGTCCATACAGGGCTGTTGTCAGTCTATCACATGTCCGTTTACATCCACATGAACGTGTGATCTCGCACAATGTCCATATATTTAGCTGATGCTTCAATTGCCTACATGTCTGTTTAGATCTCAATCTCACAATGTCCATATAATCCGGCTGATGTCAATCTGCCACATGTCTGTTTAGATCTCAATCTCACAATGTCCATATACTAGCTGATGTCAATCTGCCACATGTCTGTTTAGGTCTCAATCTCACAATGTCCATATACTAGCTGATGTCAATCTGCCACATGTCTGTTTAGATTTCAATCTCACACTGTCCATATACTCCGATGATGTTATGAATCTTGCCATGTCTTGTTTAGGTCTCAATCTATCAATGTCCATATACTACTTGATGTGAATTCCTTGCCACATGTCTCCAGTTTAGGTGTCTCATTCACTCAATGTCCATATAATTAGTTGATGCTTACACTCTGCCACATGTCTGTTTAGGTTCCCAACTCCATAATGTCAATATATCAGTTGATGTCAATTCAAGCCACATGTTTTGTTAGAAGGATCTCAATTACAATGTCCATATACTACCTGGATGTCAATTCGCTGAAGTTTGTTCAGCTTAATCTCAATGTCCATATATCAGCTGATGTCAATCTGCCAGTATACCAGTTCTCAATTCACAATGTCCATATATTAGCTGATGTCAATCCTGCCACATCTGTTTAGATCTCAATCTCGCAATGTCCATATACTACCTGACAGTCACTCTGCCACATGTCTGTTTAGATCTCATTCTATCAATGTCCATATATTCAGTTGATGCCAATCTGCTACATGTCTGTTTAGGTCTTGTATTCCTGCATTTAATGTTCATATAGAAGCTGACTGTCAATCTGCCATGATGTCTTGTTTAGGCCTTCATGTCATACTGTCCATATACTAGTTGATGTCAATCTGCGGTGTCTAGTTTAGGGTCCAATCTCACAATGTCCATATACTACCTGATGCCAATCTGCCAATATGTCTGTTTCAGGTCCCAGTGTCACAATGTCCATATACTACTGATGTCAATTCGCCACATGTCTGTATAGGTCTCATTCATCAATGTCCATATACTACCTGATGTCAATCTCACATGTCTGTTTAGAATTTCATTCTAATCAATGTTCATATACTTCAATCTATGTCAATCTGCCACATGTCTGTTTAGGGTCTCAATCTCACAATGTCCATATATACTAGCTGATGTCAATTCCTGTCACATGTCTGTTTAGATCTCAATCTCACAATGTCCATATATATTAGCTGATGTCGGTTCACATGTCTGTTTAGACACCCAACCATCACCAATGTCCATATGCCCAATCTGCTACCTGTCTGCTTCACTCATCTATCACTGTCCATATCTCAGCTTAGATCTCACATGTCTGTTTAGGGTCTCTGCCTTATCAATGTCCATATTGCTAGTCGATGTCAATCTGCCATGTTGTGTTTAGGTCTAGCTGGATGTCAATTCGCCACATGTCCATATAGTCTCCAATTCCCACAATGCCTGAGCATGTCAATGGAGGCTAATCTCACATAGTCTGTTTAGGTTCGCAGTGTCATAATGTCCATATACTCAGCTGATGTCAATCTGCCACATGTCTGTTTAGGTCTTCATACTTCACAATGTCCATATACTACCTGATGTCAATCTGCCACATGTCTGTTTAGGGTCTCAATTCATCAATGTCCATATTATGCCTCTATGTCAATCTGCCACATGTCTGTTTTAGGTCCCATAATCACAATGTCCATATACTACCTGATGTCAATTCCAAGCATGTCTGTTTAGGTCTCATTCTTAGCTAGGACAGTCAACTGTCACATATAATCCTATACCTGATGTCAATCTGCCACATGCTGTCTGTTTAGGTCTCAATTCACAATGTCCATATACTTAGGCTTGATGGCCAATCTGCCACATGTTCGTTTGAGTCTCAATCTCAAGCAATGTCCATATATTTCACTTGATGTCAATCTTGCCACATGTCTGTTTTAGGTCTCACCCACTAAATGTCTATACCAGCTGAGGCTCAATCTGCCACATGTCTGTTTAAAGTCTCAATCTCACAATGTCCATATACCAGCCGAGTTTCATTCACGTCAATATATTAGCGATGTTACTCAGCTACGTCCGTTTAATGTCTGTTTAGGTCAGACATGTGGCAGATTGACATCAGCTAGTATATGGACATTGATAGATTGAGACCTAAACAGACATGTAAGTGGCAGATTGACATCAGGTAGTATATGGACATTGTGAGATTGAGACCTAAACAGACATGTGGCAGATTGACATCAGCTAGTATATGGACATTGTGAGATTGAGACCTAAACAGACATGTGGCAGATTGACATCAGGTAGTATAGGGATTGAGACCTATATTAATCCCAATCCAACCAGCCACACCCTCTAGACATGTGCCATATTCTAGAGATTGACAGTATCAGCATATGTACAGGTGAGATTGAGACCTAAACAGACATGTGGCAGATTGACATCAGCTAGTATATGGACATTGTGAGATTGAGACCTAAACAGACATGTGGCAGATTGACATCAGCTAGTATATGGACATTGATAGATTGAGACCTAAACAGACATGTGGCAGATTGACATCAGGTAGTATATGGACATTGATAGAATGAGAATCTAAACAGACATGTGGCAGATTGACATCAGCTAGTATATGGACATTGTGAGATTGAGACCTAAACAGACATGTGGCAGATTGACATCAGCTAGTATATGGACAAACAGACATGTGTGAGATTGAGATATGGACAAACAGACATGTGGACATGTGATTGACATCAGCTAGTATATGGACATTGTGAGATTGAGACCTAAACAGACATGTGGCAGATTGACATGAGGTAGTATATGGACATTGATAGAATGAGACCTAAACAGACATGTGGCAGATTGACATCAGGTAGTATATGGACATTGATAGAATGAGACCTAAACAGACATGTGGCAGATTGACATCAGCTAGTATATGGACATTGTGACACTGAGACCTAAACAGACATGTGGCAGATTGACATCAGGTAGTATATGGACATTGTGAGATTGAGACCTAAACAGACATGTGGCAGATTGACATCAGCTAGTATATGGACATTGTGAGATTGAGACCTAAACAGACATGTGGCAGATTGACATCAGCTAGTATATGGACATTGATAGAATTGAGACCTAAACAGACATGTGGCAGATTGACATCAGCTAGTATATGGACATTGATAGATTGAGACTAAACAAACAGACATGTGGGACATTGTGAGATTGAGATTGACATCAGATTGACATCAGTATATATGGACATTGAGATTGAGACCTAAACAGACATGTGGCAGATTGACATCAGCTAGTATATGGACATTGTGACACTGAGACCCAAACAGACATGTGGCAGATTGACATCAGCTAGTATATGGACATTGTGAGATTGAGACCCTAAACAGACATGTGGCAGATTGACATCAGCTAGTATATGGACATTGATAGACACTGAGACCTAAACAGACATGTGGCAGATTGACATCAGGTAGTATATGGACATTGATAGAATGAGACCTCTAAACAGACATGTGGCAGATTGACATCAGCTAGTATATGGACATTGATAGAATGAGATCTAAACAGACATGTGGCAGATTGACATCAGGTAGTATATGGACATTGTGAGATTGAGACCTAAACAGACATGTGGCAGATTGACATCAGCTAGTATATGGACATTGTGAGATTGAGATCTAAACAGACATGTGGCAGATTGACATCAGCTAGTATATGGACATTGTGAGATATTGACTTTGAGACCTAAACAGACATGTGGCAGATTGACATCAGCTAGTATATGGACATTGATAGATTGAGACCTAAACAGACATGTGGCAGATTGACATCAGGTAGTATATGGACATTGATAGATTGAGACCTAAACAGACATGGCAGATTGACATCAGCTAGTATATGGACAGTGTGAGATTGAGATCTAAACAGACATGTGGCAGATTGACATCAGCTAGTATATGAACATTGTGAGATTGAGACCTAAACAGACATGTGGCAGATTGACATCAGCTAGTATATGGACATTGTGAGATTGAGATCTAAACAGACATGTGGCAGATTGACATCAGCTAGTATATGGACATTGTGAGATTGAGATCTAAACAGACATGTGGCAGATTGACATCAGCTAGTATATGGACATTGTGAGATCACGTTCATGTGGATGTAAACAGACATGTGATAGACTGACAACAGCCACTGTATGGACATTTTGAGATCACGTCCGTGTCTTCCTGAAGTTGTGGAATTTCTTTGTTGAGTACAGTATTATTTAAGTCCAGATTTTCATTCATAATTTCTTTTCATGATGATGACTAATTAAGAGCCTTCTTGTTGTTAAAGAGTTGAAGCTCTTGTGGCTGAATCATTTTCTAAATCTTTTTCAGAACTATGAGCAAAAACCAATTTTCTTTGCAAGAAAATTTGAGCCTATAGTGAACCAGGAGATAATCAATAGTTTAGACGTCTATTTATTCGGTAATTTCCAACAAGGTAAGAATTTGTTTTAACATCTATAAAGGATACCTGATGGAAAAGTGAGTTCTGATGTGATGAGCTGGGCCCAGTTGACAGTTCTGATGTGATCTGCTGGACCCAGTTGACTGAGTTCTGATGTGATCTGCTGGGCCCAGTTGACTGAGTTCTGATGTGATCTGCTGGACCCAGTTGACTGAGTTCTGATGTGATCTGCTGGACCCAGTTGACTGAGTTCTGATGTGATCTGCTGGACTCAGTTGACTGAGTTCTGATGTGATCTGCTGGGCCAAGTTGACTGAGTTCTGATGTGATCTGCTGGACCCAGTTGAAAGTTCTGATGTGATCTGCAGGGTGCAAGGTTTGTTGTGATTGTGCACTCCTTCCTAGTTGGTTTCTCTGTGCTGGTACAGTGTCTTAGACCTGTGGCATGAAGGCTGTCTTCTCAACCATAAACTTACACAGCCTGAATTGACAGAAGTACTGTACATACTGAACAGAAGTACTGTACATACTGAACAGAGGTACTGTACATACTGAACAGAGGTACTGTACATACTAAACAGCAGGGATTCAGGCAGTGGAATGTAACAATATTCATGTTTTAGATATGAAAAATGAGTTTTTCAATTATAAAAATACATTTAAAGGCATCATTTGTTTTGAGAAACAATTGTGTGTATGTTTCAGACATGACTGGCTTAACCAGCTACTGGCAAAACGAATACCATCATCTGGACAAGATAGCCAAGGTCAAGGATGCCTACCCAACATTCTACCAGTCATTTGTGAGGCTGGGAGTTGCAGAACTGTCCCGCCAATCTGTATCATGTACATATCGACCTATGAAAACACTGGAGGCCAATGTGTTCTATGAGGCTGACCACTTTCATGGAATCCTGGTCCTTCACGAAGTCGAGGAGGTTGCTACAGGCAACATCATCACCATGGAAACACACATGCATCCAAAACATCACTATTCCATCCTCCAACCAAAGACAATCATAGGAAGACTCCAGACTCTGGAGGTGAGCCCACTAGACCATTAGACCAGTATACCACTGTACCACTAGACCATTAGACCAGTATCCCACTGTACCACTAGCCCATTAGACCAGTATCCCACTGTACCACTAGACCACTACCCCACTAGACCATTAGACCACTGTACCACTAGACCATTATACCACTGTACCACTAGCCCATTAGACCATTATACCACTAGACCATTATACCACTGTACCTCTAGCCCATTATACCATTGGACCACTAGACCATTATACCACTGTACCACTAGACCATAATACCACTGTACCAAAAGCCCACTAGACCATTATACCACTGTACCATTACACCATTAAACCACTGTACCACTAGCCCACTAGACCATTATACCACTGTACCACTAGCCCATTAGACCATTATACCACTGTACCACTAGACCATTATACCACTGTACCACTAGACCACTATACCACTAGACCATTATACCACTGTACCACTAGACCATTATACCACTGTACCACTAGACCATTATACCACTGTACCACTAGACCATTATACCACTGTACCATTATACCACTGTACCACTAGACCATTATACCACTGTACCACTAGCCCATTAGACCATTGTACCACTGTACCACTAGACCATTATACCACTGCCCAGACTGTTATACCACTGTACCATAGACCATATATACCACTGTACCACTAGACCATTATACCACTGTACCATTAGACCATTATACCACTGTACCACTTATAGCACCACTAGACCATTATACCACTGTACCACTAGCCCATTAGACCATTATTACCACTGTACCACTAGACCACTATACCACTTATACCACTGTACCATTATACCACTAGACCATTATACCACTGTACCACTAGACCATTATACCACTGTACCACCACTATACCACTGTACCATTATACCACTGTACCACTAGACCATTATACCACTGTACCATTAGACCATTATACCACTGTACCACTTTAGACCATTATACCACTAGCCCATTATACCATCTGTACCCATTATATAGACCACTATACCACTACGTACCACTAGACCACTAGACCATTATACCACTGTACCACTAGACCATTATACCACTGTACCACTAGACCATTATACCACTATTATACCCACTAGACCATTATACCACTGTACAAATAAGCCCACTAGACCATTATACCACTAGACCATTATACCACTGCCACTAGACCATTATGCCACTGTACCACTAGACCACTGTACCACTGGCCCATAGACCATTATACCACTAGCCCACTAGACCATTATACCGCTGTACCACTAGACCATTATACCACTGTACCACTAGACCATTAGACCACTGTACCACTAGTACCACTGCCACTAGACCATTATACCACTGTAGACCATTTATACCACTAGTACCACTAGACCATTTATACCACTGTACCACTACCACTAGACCATTATGTACCACTAGACCACTGGGCAATTAGACCATCAGACCACTGTACCACTGACCATTATACCACCACTAGACCATTATACCACTGTACCACTAGACCATATATACCACTAGACCATTATACCACTGCACCACTAGACCATTATACCACTGTACCATTAATGGACCACTAGCCTAGACCATTATACCACTAGACCATTATACCACTGTACCACTAGACCATTATACCACTGTACCACTAGACCACTAGACCATTATGCCACTGTACCACTAGACCATTATACCACTGTACCACTAGACCATTATACCACTGTACCACTACCCACTAGACCATTAAACCACTGTACCACTAGCCCACCATGATACCACTGTACCACTAGCCACCCAGACCACTAGCCCACTAGACCATTATACCACTGTACCATTATACCACTTATACCACTTAGACCATTATACCACTAGCCCATTAGACCATTTTACCACTGTACCACTAGACCATTATACCACTGTACCCACTAGACCATTGTACCATTAGACCATTATACCACTGTACCATTATACCACTCTAGCACACTAGACATTATACCACTGTACCACTAGACCATTATACCACTAGACCGCACTAGCCCACTGGACCACTGGAATCATTGTACCACTGGCCACTAGCCCACTGTACCAGTAGATCATTATACCACTGTACCCCTAGACCACACTGGGCGTTAGCCCTTTAGACCACATTATGGACCACTGATCATTATACCACTGTAGACCATTATACCACTGTACCACTAGACCATTAGACCATTATACCACTGTACCACTACTAGACCATTATACCACTGTACCACTAGACCACTACCCCTCCTAGACCATTATACCACTAGACCACTAGACCATTATACCACTGTACCTCTAGCCCATTATACCACCACTAGACCATTATACCACTGTACCATTAGACCATTATACCACTGTACCACAAGCCCACTAGACCATTATATACCACTGTACCACTACACCATTAAACCACTGTACCACTAGCCCACTAGACCATTATACCACTGTACCACTAGACCATTATACCACTAGACCATTATACCACTGTACCACTAGACCTTTATACCACTGTACCACTTTACCCACTAGACCATTATACCACTGTACAAATAGCCGACTAGACCATTATACCACTAGACCATTATACCACTGTACCACTAGACCGTTATACCACTGTACCACTAGCCCATTATACCACTAGACCATTATACCACTAGCCCACTAGACCATTATACCACTGTACAAATAGCCGACTAGACCATTATACCACTAGACCATTATACCACTGTACCACTAGACCATTATACCACTGTACCACTAGACCATTATGCCACTGTACCATTAGACCACTAGACCATTATACCACTGTACCACTAGACCATTGTAACACTGTACCACTAGACCATTATACCACTGTACCACTAGCCCACTAGATCATTATACCACTGTACCATTACACCATTAAACCACTGTACCACTAGCCCACTAGACCATTATACCACTGTACAACTAGCCCATTAGACCATTATACCACTGTACCACTAGACCATTATACCACTGTACCATTAGACCACTGTACCACTGTACCACTAGACCTTTATACCACTGTACCACTTTACCACTGTACCATTATACCACTGTACCACTAGACCATTATACCACTGTACCACTACCCCACTAGACCATTATACCACTGTACCACTAGACCGTTATACCACTGTACCACTAGACCATTATACCACTAGACCATTATACCACTATCCCACTAGACCATTATACCACTGTACAAATAGCCGACTAGACCATTATACCACTAGACCATTATACCACTGTACCACTAGACCATTATACCACTGTACCACTAGCCCATTATACCACTAGACCATTATACCACTAGCCCACTAGACCATTATACCACTGTACAAATAGCCGACTAGACCATTATGCCACTGTACCACTAGACCATTATACCACTAGACCATTATGCCACTGTACCACTAGACCATTGTACCACTGGCCCATTAGACCATTATACCACTAGCCCACTAGACAATTATACCACTGTACCACTAGACCATTATACCACTGTACCATTTCTAGACCATTAGACAACTGTACCACTAGCCCACTGGGCAACTAGACCATCAGACCACTGTACCAATTCTAGACCATTATGCCAGTGTACCACTAGACCATTATACCACTGTACCACTAGACCATTATACCACTAGCCCACTAGACCATTAGACAACTGTACCACTAGCCCACTGGGCAACTAGACCATCAGACCACTGTACCACTTCTAGACCATTATACCAGTGTACCACTAGACCATTATACCACTGTACCACTAGACCATTATACCACTAGCCCATTAGACCATTATACCACTAGACCATTATACCACTGGACCACTAGACCATTATACCACTGTACCATTAGACCACTAGCCCATTAGACCACTGTACCACTAGACCATTATACCACTGTACCATTAGGCCACTAGACCATTATACCACTGTACCACTAGCCCACTAGACCATTATACCACTAGCCCACTAGACCATTATACCACTGTACCACTAGCCCACTAGACCATACCACTGTACCACTACCCACTAGACCATTAAACCACTGTACAAATAGCCCACTAGACCATGATACCACTGTACCACTAGCTACCCAGACCACCAGCCCACTAGACCATTATACCACTGTACCATTATACCACTTTACCACTAGACCATTATACCACTGTACCATTAGACCATTTTACCGCTGTACCACTAGACCATTATACCACTAGCCCACTAGACCATTGTACCATTATACCACTGTACCATTATACCACTGTACCACTAGACCATTATACCACTGTACCACTAGATCATTATACCAGTAGACCACTAGCCCACTGGACCACTAGATCATTATACCACTGTACCACTAGACCACTAGCCCACTGGACCAGTAGATCATTATACCACTGTACCCCTAGACCACTGGACGTATAGCCCTCTAAACCACAGACCACTGGACCACTAGATCATTATACCACTGGACCACTAGACCATTATACCACTGTACCACTAGACCATTATACCACTGTACCACTAGACCACTGTACGTATAGCCCTCTAAACCACAGACCACAGGACTACTAGATTACTAGACCAGGATTGAGAACATTTGATGTGTATGGTAGGAAAATAATGTTTGCAGAATAGTAGAGACTTATTCAAGTTCTTTTTATCATCAGTTATTAGTTCTGATGAATGGTTGTTTAGTAGATTGAAGAGAAAGGAGAAAATTATAAGATAAGTTGAAAAATAATTGTATGCTAGATGCATATCAACTATTCTTTGAGGGATATATTGATGATGTCTTTTCTTTTGTAGGTGGGAACAGATTTTGATCCCAAAGAACTTTTATTCCGAAATTACGGAAAACTTATCGGCCCCTATGATGATGTGGTATTGCGTCATGTTTGGGGAGCTGGGATTGAGTTTGTGATCTCAGTGGCATGGATTGACCCAGTCAATGTCATAGCTGCATCGTATGATGTGAAGGTCCTCAGTAGTGGACACACTGGGTCCCACAAACCGCAGCTGAACCGGCCTCTGCGTCCCGGAATCTGGCAGGTGAAGCTGATGTACAACCTGCAGCTCCTGGCGGAGACCTCCTTCCTCGTCATCCCCCTCACTGTGTATGACGGACACCCCATCTCTGCCGCCGAGATCTACAGAGCTCACAGTGGACCACAAGGCTTCTACGCATCCAAAGACTTCTCTGAATTCCGGGATGTGCTGAACGTTCCTAAGCATGCTGACCTACAGACTCAGGCAGCAGTGAACGCCAAGAAGGTGGGGAAGGACCTGGAAAACTGGGTGGACAGTTTAGTGCCTTTGTTTTGGCAGGTTCAGAGGTCATGTACCATAGAGGATCTGTCTAACACCTGCCTTGTGTTAGAACAGTGCAAAAAAACATCATGGAGTTCAAGATCACCTGATCCAAAGTCAGATCTTTCAAGTGTTGGAGCTAAGTTTGCTCCAGTCAGATAACAGTAGGGGTGCTTAGGAAGTTAGTCAACTTGTTTCATTCAACACTAAGTCATGGTGATAAAAGGGTACGATCTGTCTAGATTCCTCCATAGAGGGGTGGTGAGATAGCATGCCTCACTCACTCACTCACTCACTCACTCACTCACTCCAACCTCACCCACTCACTCCAACACTCACTCACTCACTCCAACACTCACTCACTCACTCACTCACTCACTCCTCTAGTGGAATCATGTTGATCATCAGGAAGATATGGTTCCTTATTCCTGTGTTTTAGTAAATGAGCATCAAATGTATTGAATTGTGGTTTATGCTGACAAAATGTTTTTACTTTTGCTATCAAATGATGTTTGACATTCTGAAAAGTCACTGATGAGTGATTGTGCCAAACAAATTCAGACACGTCTTTTTATGATCTTTTATTATTTATAAGACTTTTTAAAAACTTTGGTATCAAAATGTTTGTGTCTAAATATACAGAATCTGTGTGGCTCAAGGAGGTCCTTTACTGACCGGATTAAAATTAGCTGTGAATATGACAGAGTTAACTTCAAGTTGAAACAGAGAACCCCCACCAAGGGAGGTGCTTGGGCAATCCGACCTGGATGCTCCTTGTCCAGTAAACAGCGGGCTCACAACAGAAGTGTAGGCATGGTCTGGTCAGGGGATCCCCTACTAAGGAAGGTGATTGGTCTGTACTACACTGTATTGATGATATGATGAGTCGACCTGGATGTCTGGTAAACAGCGGGCTCACAACAAAAGTGTAGTTTTGCTGACTAAGACTAACCTCTTGCTGTGATAATGAACCTCTTGTCACCATGGTTACAGCTGACCATGATTACTGGCAGATATGGTTACTTCCATCACTTATGGGCTGAAAGATGTCTCCATGGTTACAATTGACTTGTTGACTAAAAGATATCACCATGGTTACTGCTCACATATTGATCAACAGATATCAAAATCGTTTCTACCAACATGTTAATAGACATACGTCACCATGGTTACTGCTAACATTTTAATAGACATAAGTCACCATAGTTACTGGCTGACAGATATCACAAGTTTTACTGCTGACACATATTGATGGATATCACCATGGTTACAACTGATACATATCTCATATTGTTTCTGCAATGTGCAGCTTGTTTGTGTGGAATGTGATACAATGAACTGTTGTGTGGCCACGTGTATGTAAGCAGTGTCTGATTGTGTGTACATACCACTGCAGCCATGACTGGCTAGCTAGTTGCTGCACTGTGCTGGACCTCTGTCATGTATGTAGAAGTGCTACTCACCTGTCTCCACCTGTATGTGTCCCGTGTTTATCAAGTCCCAAGTGCCTCTCTACTATGTGAATTGGTTGTCGTAAATAGCATTTCTTTCGATACTGAAATTAAGAAAATAATATGAGTTGTCCACATCCCATGGAAGTGGTTTAGACATTTCAGGTGAGTGGAAGATCTGTTAATACCATCACTTACTTTGATGCAGGACTTGGAATATCCTGTAGAACTACTTCCTCGTTGACATATCTACGTCAACCAATTCTTGCTCTGAAGTGCCCCATGTATATTAACTTATAAATATATGTATATAGTAGACTGACATGCCCCATGTCTTGTCACAGGGGATCTGTTCACTATTAGCTGCCTCCTGTCTTGTCACAGGGGATCTGTTCACTATTGGCTGCCTTCTGTCTTGTCACAGAGGATCTGTTCACTATGAGCTGCCTTCTGTCTTGTCACAGAGGATCTGTTCACTATGAGCTGCCTTCTGTCTTGTCACAGAGCATCTGTTCACTATGAGCTACCTTCTGTCTTGTCACAGGGGATCTGTTCACTATGAGCTGCCTCCTGTCTTGTCACAGAAGATCTGTTCACTATGAGCTGCCTCCTGTCTTGTCAGAGGATCCGTTCACTATGAGCTGCCTCCTGTTTTGTCACAGGGGATCTGTTCACTATGAGCTGCCTCCTGTCTTGTCACAGAGGATCTGTTCACTATGAGCTGCCTTCTGTCTTGTCACAGGGGATCTGTTCACTATGAGCTGCCTCCTGTCTTGTCAGAGGATCTGTTCACTATGAGCTGCCTCCTGTCTTGTCACAGGGGATCTGTTCACTATGAGCTGCCTCCTGTCTTGTCACAGAGGATCTGTTCACTATGAGCTGCCTTCTGTCTTGTCACAGAGGATCTGTTCACTATGAGCTGCCTTCTGTCTTGTCACAGGGGATCTGTGCACTATGAGCTGCCTCCTGTCTTGTCACAGAGGATCTGTTCACTATGAGCTGCCTCCTGTCTTGTCACAGGGGATCTGTTCACTATGAGCTGCCTTCTGTCTTGTCACAGGGGATCTGTTCACTATGAGCTGCCTTCTGTCTTGTCACAGGGGATCTGTTCACTATGAGCTGCCTTCTGTCTTGTCACAGAGGATCTGTTCACTATGAGCTGCCTCCTGTCTTGTAACAGAGGATCTGTTCACTATGAGCTGCCTCCTGTCTTGTCACAGGGGATCTGTTCACTATGAGCTGCCTCCTGTCTTGTCACAGGGGATCTGTTCACTATGAGCTGCCTCCTGTCTTGTCACAGGGGATCTGTTCACTATGAGCTGCCTCCTGTCTTGTCACAAGGGATCTGTTCACTATGAGCTGTCTTCTGTCTTGTCACAGGGGATCTGTTCACTATGAGCTGCCTTCTGTCTTGTCACAGGGGATCTGTTCACTATGAGCTGCCTTCTGTCTTGTCACAGGGGATCTGTTCACTATGAGCTGCCTCCTGTCTTGTCACAGGGGATCTGTTCACTATGAGCTGTCTTCTGTCTTGTCACAGGGGATCTGTTCACTATGAGCTGCCTTCTGTCTTGTCACAGGGGATCTGTTCACTATGAGCTGCCTTCTGTCTTGTCACAGAGGATCTGTTCACTATGAGCTGCCTCCTGTCTTGTCACAGGGGATCTGTTCACTATGAGCTGCCTCCTGTCTTGTCACAGGGGATCTGTTCACTATGAGCTGCCTCCTGTCTTGTCACAGGGGATCTGTTCACTATGAGCTGCCTCCTGTCTTGTCACAGGGGATCTGTTCACTATGAGCTGCCTCCTGTCTTGTAACAGAGGATCTGTTCACTATGAGCTGCCTCCTGTCTTGTCACAGGGGATCTGTGCACTATGAGCTGCCTCCTGTCTTGTCACAGGGGATCTGTTCACTATGAGCTGCCTCCTGTCTTGTCACAGGGGATCTGTTCACTATGAGCTGCCTCCTGTCTTGTCACAGGGGATCTGTTCACTATGAGCTGCCTCCTGTCTTGTCACAGGGGATCTGTTCACTATGAGCTGCCTCCTGTCTTGTCACAGGGGATCTGTTCACTATGAGCTGCCTCCTGTCTTGTCACAGGGGATCTGTTCACTATGAGCTGCCTCCTGTCTTGTCACAGGGGATCTGTTCACTATGAGCTGCCTCCTGTCTTGTCACAGGGGATCTGTTCACTATGAGCTGCCTTCTGTCTTGTCACAGGGGATCTGTTCACTATGAGCTGCCTTCTGTCTTGTCACAGGGGATCTGTTCACTATGAGCTGCCTCCTGTCTTGTCACAGGGGATCTGTTCACTATGAGCTGCCTTCTGTCTTGTCACAGGGGATCTGTTCACTATGAGCTGCCTTCTGTCTTGTCACAGGGGATCTGTTCACTATGAGCTGCCTCATGTCTTGTCACAGGGGATCTGTTCACTATGAGCTGCCTCCTGTCTTGTCACAGGGGATCTGTTCACTATGAGCTGCCTTCTGTCTTGTCACAGAGGATCTGTTCACTATGAGCTGCCTCCTGTCTTGTCACAGGGGATCTGTTCACTATGAGCTGCCTCCTGTCTTGTCACAGGGGATCTGTTCACTATGAGCTGCCTCCTGTCTTGTCACAGGGGATCTGTTCACTATGAGCTGCCTCCTGTCTTGTCACAGGGGATCTGTTCACTATGAGCTGCCTCCTGTCTTGTCACAGGGGATCTGTTCACTATGAGCTGCCTCCTGTCTTGTCACAGGGGATCTGTTCACTATGAGCTGCCTCCTGTCTTGTCACAGGGGATCTGTTCACTATGAGCTGCCTCCTGTCTTGTCACAGGGGATCTGTTCACTATGTCACAGGGGATCTGTTCACTATGAGCTGCCTCCTGTCTTGTCACAGGGGATCTGTTCACTATGAGCTGCCTCTTGTCTTGTCACAGGGGATCTGTTCACTATGTCACAGGGGATCTGTTCACTATGAGCTGCCTCCTGTCTTGTCACAGGGGATCTGTTCACTATGTCACAGGGGATCTGTTCACTATGAGCTGCCTCCTGTCTTGTCACAGGGGATCTGTTCACTATGAGCTGCCTCCTGTCTTGTCACAGAGGATCTGTTCACTATGAGCTGCCTCCTGTCTTGTCACAGGGGATCTGTTCACTATGAGCTGCCTCCTGTCTTGTCACAGGGGATCTGTTCACTATGAGCTGCCTCCTGTCTTGTCACAGGGGGATCTGTTCACTATGAGCTGCACAGGGGATCTGTTCACTATGAGCTGCCTCCTGTCTTGTCACAGGGGATCTGTTCACTATGAGCTGCCTCCTGTCTTGTCACAGGGATCTGTTCACTATGAGCTGCCTCCTGTCTTGTCACAGGGGATCTGTTCACTATGAGCTGCCTCCTGTCTTGTCACAGGGGATCTGTTCACTATGAGCTGCCTCCTGTCTTGTCACAGGGGATCTGTTCACTATGAGCTGCCTCCTGTCTTGTCACAGGGGATCTGTTCACTATGAGCTGCCTCCTGTCTTGTCACAGGGGATCTGTTCACTATGAGCTGCCTCCTGTCTTGTCACAGGATCTGTTCACTATGAGCTGCCTCCTGTCTTGTCACAGAGGATCTGTTCACTATGAGCTGCCTCCTGTCTTGTCACAGGGGATCTGTTCACTATGAGCTGCCTCCTGTCTTGTCACAGGGGATCTGTTCACTATGAGCTGCCTCCTGTCTTGTCACAGGGGATCTGTTCACTATGAGCTGCCTCCTGTCTTGTCACAGGGGATCTGTTCACTATGAGCTGCCTCCTGTCTTGTCACAGGGGATCTGTTCACTATGAGCTGCCTCCTGTCTTGTCACAGGGGATCTGTTCACTATGAGCTGCCTCCTGTCTTGTCTGGGGATCTGTTCACTATGAGCTGCCTCCTGTCTTGTCACAGGGATCTGTTCACTATGAGCTGCCTCCTGTCTTGTCACAGAGGGGATCTGTTCACTATGAGCTGCCTCCTGTCTTGTCACAGGGGATCTGTTCACTATGAGCTGCCTCCTGTCTTGTCACAGGGGATCTGTTCACTATGAGCTGCCTCCTGTCTTGTCACAGGGGATCTGTTCACTATGAGCTGCCTCCTGTCTTGTCACAGGGGATCTGTTCACTATGAGCTGCCTCCTGTCTTGTCTGGGGGATCTGTTCACTATGAGCTGCCTCCTGTCTTGTCACAGGGGATCTGTTCACTATATAGGCTGCCTCCTGTCTTGTCACAGGGGATCTGTTCACTATGAGCTGCCTCCTGTCTTGTCACAGGGGATCTGTTCACTATGAGCTGCCTCCTGTCTTGTCAGAGGGGATCTGTTCACTATGAGCTGTCTTCTGTCTTGTCACAGGGGATCTGTTCACTATGTCACAGAGGATCTGTTCACTATGTCACAGAGGATCTGTTCACTATGTCTCAGGGGATCTGTTCACTATGTCTCAGAGGATCTGTTCACTATGTCACAGAGGATCTGTTCACTATGTCTCAGGGGATCTGTTCACTATGCATGAACATGTCCAGTCAGCTCACATGGTCCCACACCATGACATGATGATGTTCAAATAACAAGATTAACTGTCATGATGTTTGATCAGCTCATGTGACCAATGTGATTCATGTGTCATGATGTTTGATCAGCTCCTGTGACCATCATGACTGACATGTCAGGATGTTTGATCAGCTCATGCGACTATTGTGACTCACATGTCAAAATGTTTGATCAGCTCATGTGACCATTGTGACTGACATGTCAGGATGTTTGATCAGCTCATGTGACCATTGTGACTGACATGTCCTGATGTTTGATCAGCCCATGTGACCATTGTGACTGACATGTCATGATGTTTGATCAGCTCCTCTGACCATCGTGACTGACATGTCCTCATGTTTGATCAGCTCATGTGACCATCTTGACTGACATGTCCTGTTGTTTGATCAGCTCATGTGACCATCGTGACTGACATGTCCTGATGCTCATGTGACCATTGTGACTCACATGTCTTGTTCATTAAGCTCCTGTGATCAGCTTGAGTTTCCCTTTCATTCTCTTACATGATGTTCTTTTGGCTGATATGTGTATGAAACCTGTGTTCAAGATGAGACATTTAAGTGCTTAGTACGCATGTGTGTCAGTGTGCATGTGTGTCAATACATAGTCCACCATGTAGCTGCATGCAACTTGAACAAATCTTCAACCACGGACAGTTGATGAGTGTGCTGGATAATGATGCTTCGCCCCCTACTGACTGTATCCTTGAGCGGGTTTTAGTTGATAAGATTTCATCATTTTTCTGATCAAATGTATCCAGTTACAGTGCCACTGCATCATATCAATCATATCAGTGTTTACGTTTTTGTTGATATGCCTCATGATTTCATATTGAAAAAGTCAAGCAATGTTTATCATTGGCTTCAGAAGTTTGTTTGCAACCTAGTGTTCTATAGACCGGATGTTCAGTTGTGGCTGGTGTTCAGTGGATCTGACATTCAGCTATGGCTGATGTTCAGTGGACCTGGTGTTCAAGGTGGTTTTATCATCTCATAATTTTTCCATATATGTTAAGTTCTAAGAATTATTTTGAAAATTTTATTTCAATTGTGTATCTATAACGTAAGAAGTCTTTATTTGTCTGAACTGATAACGGTGGGGAAGTCTTTCTGACTTGTCTGAACTGATAAATATGGGGAAGTCTTTAGTTGTCTGAACTTGATAATGGTGGGGAAGTCTTTACTTGTCTGAACTGATACTTTACTGGTTCTGAACTGATAACGGGGAAGTGTTTGCTTGTCTGAACTGGTAACTGATAACAGATGGGGGTGGGGAAGTGTTTGCTTGTCTGAACTGGTAGCGGTGGGGAAGTCTTTACTTGTCTGAACTGATAATGGTGAGGGAGTATTTACTTGTCTGAAATGATAACGATGGGGAAGTCTTTACTTGTCTGAAATGATAACAGTGGGGAAGTCTTTACTTGTCTGAACTGATAACGGTGGGGAAGTGTTTGCTTGTCTGAATTGATAACAGTAGGGAAGTCTTTACTTGTCTGAACTGATAACAGTGGGGAAGTCTTTACTTGTCTGAACTGATGATAATGGTGGGAAAGTGTTTGCTTGTCTGAACTGATAACTTCTTTACTTGTGGGGAAGTCTTTACTTGTCTGTATCTTTAACTGGGGAAATCTTTACTTGGTTGGGAAGATATTTACTTGTCTGAACTGATAATGGTGGTCTGAAATGAGTATTTACTTGTCTGAAATGATAACTTGAACCATTAACGGGAAAGTCTTTACTTGTCTGTATCTATAACGGTAACGGTGGGAAGTATTTACTTGTCTGAACTGATAACGGTGGGGAAGTATGTACGTTGGAACTGAAAGTGTTTTGATTGTCTGTATCTATAATGGTGGGGAAGTATTTACTTGTCTGAACTGATAACGTTGGGAAAGTGTTTGCTTGTCTGTATCTATAATGGTGGGGAAGTATTTACTTGTCTGAACTGATAACGATGGGAAAGTGTTTGCTTGTCTGTATCTATAATGGTAAGGAAGTCATTCTCAGATTTTTCTGTTTTTGATCTTTTTTCATGTTGCTTGGGTCCCAGTGTCTTTCATGTCACCAACTGATGGATGTAGTTAGGGATACATCACATCTCAGGTCCTAGGGTCCGGTGCGTGACCAACTAGAGTTAGGGTATGACCTACTTGAGTTGTCACTACACAGGTCCTAGGGTCAGGTGCGTGACCAACTAGAGTTAGGGTATGACCTACTTGAGTTGTCACTACACCGGTCCTAGGGTCAGGTGCGTGACCAACCACAGGGGCGTGTCACGCTTTGAAACAGCGTTAGAAAGACATATAGGTATATAGACCCTACCCTAGTATTATATAAAAGGAAAGAGATGTAACGACGGAACCACCCCCTCCTCAATCTAAGTTGAATTTCACTTGAATGTCAAGGCCATCTATGGCCGACAAGTGAGTATGATTGCCGATGGTTTTGGAGAAAATGTCTGCTTACTGTTGAGGAAATGATTTGTAGATGTTGCAATAAGTTTTTAGACCCGTGGAATGGCGCTGCCGATCGAATCTAGCCCTACATAGGTGCTGTCAACGTGGCTGGAATTAATAAACAAATTTAAAAGGTGAGTTTTCGCTGTCTTGGGTGATCCATGATTTTGGCTTGGAATTGCGGAGGTAGCTGTTTTCGATGAGTCGTGGCGTTTAACTTTTGAAATAATGATCCGATTGTGATCATTTATAGCTCATTTTGTAGGGAAATCATCTCGCTTTTGATCCGTAGGCCTCGACGGGGCCTTCAAAATAGTTTACGTGGTGAAATCCAACTTAGATTGAGGAGGGGTGGGTTCGTCGTTACATCCCTTTCCTTTTATATAATACTAGGGTAGGGTCTATATACCTATATGTCTTTCTAACGCTGTTTCTAAGCGTGACACGGGTCCTAGGGTGAGGTGTATTACCAACTGGACTTAGGGTATGACCTACTTGAGTTGTCACTACACAGGTCCTCGGGTCAGGTGCGTGACCAACTAGAGTTAGGGTATGACCTACTTGAGTTGTCACTACACAGGTCCTAGGATCAGGTGCGTGACCAACTAGAGTTAGGGTATGACCTACTTGAGTTGTCACTACACAGGCCCTAGGTCAGGTGTGTGACCAACTAGAGTTAGGGTATGACCTACTTGAGTTGTCACTACACAGGTCCTAGGGTCAGATGCATGACCAACTAGAGTTAGGGTATGACCTACTCGAGTTGTCACTACACAGGTCCTAGGGTCAGGTGTGTGACCAACTAGAGTTAGGGTATGACCTATTGAAGTTGTCACTACACAGGTCCTAGGGTCAGGTGTGTGACCAACTAGAGTTAGGGTATGACCTACTTGAGTTGTCACTACACAGGTCCTAGTGTCAGATGCATGACCAACTAGAGTTAGGGTATGACCTACTTGAGTTGTCACTACACGGGTCCTAGGTCAGGTGTGTGACCAACTAGAGTTAGGGTATGACCTACTTGAGTTGTCACTACACAGGTCCTAGGGTCAGGTGTATTACCAACTGGAGTTAGGGTATGACCTACCTGAGTTGTCACTACACGGGTCCTAGGGTCAGGTGTATTACCAACTGGAGTTAGGGTATGACCTACTTGAGTTGTCACTACACAGGTCCTAGGGTCAGGTGTGTGACCAACTAGAGTTAGGGTATGGCCTACTTGAGTTGTCACTACACGGGTCCTAGGGTCAGGTGTATTACCAACTGGAGTTAGGGTATGGCCTACTTGAGTTGTCACTACACAGGTCCTAGGGTCAGGTGTGTGACCAACTAGAGTTAGGGTATGACCTACTTGAGTTGTCACTACACAGGTCCTAGGTCAGGTGTATGACCTTTAGGGGTAGTCACATTTCAGTTCCTAGGTCAGGAGTATGATCTTTAGGGGTAGTCACATTTTAGATCCTAGGTCAAGTGTATGACCTTTAGGGGCAGTCACATTTCAGGTCTTAGTGTCTGGTTTATGACCTACAGAAGTAGTACTGACTGACTGAAGGGGATGTTGTACTGAGATATGTAGTTTCTGTTGGTACTATGGACAATGAGCACAGTTTACAGAAATGTATCAAACATTCGTTATTTGTTTCATTTAAATGATGTCATATGTTTCTGGTGAAACCTCATCCTTGTATCTGTGATGTATCCGTGTATATTAAGGTTCTTATTTTCTTTATCTTGTGGGTAAACATTTATTGTATGCCAGTGACACCTCCTACTGAGCAAGTGAATGCCCTAATGCAGTGTTTCTGTGTGGGAGTCTGGCCTCTGAATGAACTGTGTATTGGAGCTGTGTTCTGTACAGTGTACAGCACTGGAGCATCAGGTTTCAGTCACATCCTTTCACTGATGCCTTTCAGGTCACCTCTGTCTGTCTCAAAAGTTCTCAGAAAAATAAACTTTACAGATTTTGTATCTTACTTCAGTACAGTCCCTTCAGCTGATCCTGCTATGTGGCGGTACTGTTTGTTTGACAACTGGTAGACAGATTTCAGACTGATCTGAGCAGGATTAATTGTTTGTTGTTTCAAAATGCTTCTAGTCTCATCTTGTATTATATTTAAAGTGCATTATTCAGAAAGGAGGTGTGTCTTGGATGACTGAAGGTTAATGCTGTTTATAATGGATGATTGTAATGAATTTGAGAAATGTACATTAGTGTTCTATGGTCTTTTTATAAGTATTTGCAGGTTGTACAGTAGAGGAGTGCATTTGTATTGAAAGAATCCTTTATGCAGAATTTATGCACCAAAGTTTATGTACAGGTTCTTGATTAAAATGGAGTAGGTCTGTGTTCCTGAGACAAATCATGCAATGTTGCCTCATCCTGAGGATGTACCCTGAAGGTTGTCTCCACACCAGAATGACCCCTTATGTTCTATCATTCTAGGCTGTATCTATGGCTGTGTCTCCACACCAGAATGACCCCTTATGTTCTATCATTCTAGGCTGTATCTATGGCTGTGTCTCCACACCAGAATGACCCCTTATGTTCTATCATTCTAGGCTGTATCTATGGCTGTGTCTCCACACCAGAATGACCCCTTTATGTTCTATCATTCTAGGCTGTATCTATGGTTGTTCTCCACAATTGGAATGACCCTTATGTTCTATCATTCTAGGCTGTATCTATGGCTGTGTCTCCACACCAGAATGACCCCTGATGTTCTATCATTCTAGGCTGTATCTATGGCTGTGTGTCCACACCAGAATGACCCCTTATGTTCTATCATTCTAGGCTGTATCTATGGCTGTGCTTCTACTCCAGGAAGCACTTGATGTTCTATCATTCTAGGCTGTATCTATGGCTGTGTCTCCACACCAGAATGACCCCTGATGTTCTATCATTCTAGGCTGTATCTATGGCTGTGTCTCCACACCAGAATGACCCCTTATGTTCTATCATTCTAGGCTGTATCTATGGCTGTGTCTCCACACCAGAATGACCCCTTATGTTCTATAATTCTAGGCTGTATCTATGGCTGTGTCTCCACACCAGAATGACCCCTTATGTTCTATCATTCTAGGCTGTATCTATGGCTGTGTCTCCACACCAGAATGACCCCTTATGTTCTATCATTCTAGGCTGTATCTATGGCTGTGTCTCCACACCAGAATGACCCCTGATGTTCTATCATTCTAGGCTGTATCTATGGTTGTGTGTGTCCACACCAGAATGACCCCTTTATGTTCTATCATTCTAGGCTGTATCTATGGCTGTGCTTCTACTCCAGGAAGCCCCCTGATGTTCTATCATTCTAGGCTGTATCTATGGCTGTGTCTCCACACCAGAATGACCCCCTTATGTTCTATCATTCTAGGCTGTATCTATGGCTTTGTGTCCACACCAGAATGACCCCTGATGTTCTATCATTCTAGGCTGTATCTATGGCTGTGCTTCTACTCCAGGAAGCCCCCTGATGTTCTATCATTCTAGGCTGTATCTATGGCTGTGCTTCCACTCCAGGAAGCCCCCTGATGTTCTATCCACTCTAGGATGCCCCAAATCCCCCGATGTTCTACCACTCTAGGATGCCCCCATGATGTTCTATCATGCTAGGATGCTGTTTTATCTGCTTCAGGTTGCCCTTGTATGTTCTCTACACTCCACAATCCTTTATGTGGCATCATTACTTTGACATGAAATCTATATTTGTCTTCCATCATGTCAACACTTGAGATATAAGTTTTGTATTCATATTTTTATTACACAAAATTTGATTAAAATATGCATTTGTTTCATGTTTTTGTCTGTCTTTTGTGTGTTTGCAAAGTTGATGTTGAAGGAATACTGGTAACAGAGAAAAGAGGCTGAATCACACACTCTTTTTCTCTGACATAGTCATTCACTCACTGTCTGTTGACTTTCGGAACCTACCAGTCTCGATCAACCAGACATTTGACTTTCTGATGTCCCTTTAGACATGCATTTCCCCATGAATACCATTCCCCGTGTCTCTCACTGTCCCAGCCCAACCTTCATATCTCTCATTGTCCCAGCCCAACCTTCATGTCTCTCACCGTCCCAGCCCAACCTTCATATCTCTCATTGTCCCAGCCCAACCTTCATGTCTCTCATTGTCCCAGCCCAACCTTCATATCTCTCATTGTCCCAGCCCAACCTTCATATCTCTCATTGTCCCAGCCCAACCTTCATGTCTCTCATTGTCCCAGCCCAACCTTCATATCTCTCATTGTCCCAGCCCAACCTTCATGTCTCTCATTGTCCCAGCCCAACCTTCATATCTCTCATTGTCCCAGCCCAACCTTCATGTCTCTCATTGTCCCAGCCCAACCTTCATGTCTCTCACCGTCCCAGCCCAACCTTCATGTCTCTCATTGTCTCAGCCCAACCTTCCTGTCTCACTATACCAGCCCAACCTTCATGTCTCACTGTCCCAGCCCAACCTTCATGTCTCTCACCGTCCCAGCCCAACCTTCATGTCTCTCATTGTCCCAGCCCAACCTTCATGTCTCTCATTGTCCCAGCCCAATCTTCATATCTCTCACTGTTCCAGCCCAACCTTCATATCTCACCGTCCCAGCCCAACCTTCATGTCTCTGACTGTTCCAGCCCAGCCTTCATGTCTCACTGTCCCAGCCTAACCTTTTAGTCTCTCATTGTCCCAGCCCAACCGTCATGTATCTCATTGTCCCACCCCAACCTTCATGTCTCTCATTGTCCCACCCCAACCTTCATATCTCTCACTGTTCCAGCCCAGCCTTCATGTCTCACCATCCCAGCCAAACCTTCATGTCTCTCATTGTCCCAGCCCAACCTTCATGTCTCTCAGCCCAACCTTCATGTCTCATGTTCCATCACTTCATGTTCCATCCCAACCTTCGTCTACTCTTCATGTCACCCCAGCCCTTCCTATGTATCTGCCCAATCTTCATGTCTCTCTGTCCCAGCCCATCTTATGTCTCAGTCCCAGCCCTTCCTATATGTCTCTCACTGTCCCAGCCCAATCTTCATGTCTCTCACTGTCCCAGCCCATCCTATGTCTCTCACTGTCCCAGCCCTTCCTATATGTCTCTCACTGTCCCAGCCCAACCTTCTTGTCTCTCACTGTCCCAGCCCAACCATCATGTTCTCACTGTCCCAGCCCTTCCTATATGTCTCTCTTCGACTGTCCCAGCCCTTCCAATATGTCTCTTACTGTCCCTCACTGTCCCAGCCTGTTCCTAACCATCATGTCTCTCACTGTCCCAGCCCTTCCTATATATGTCTCTCACCGTCCCAGCCCAACCTTTGTCTTGTCTTTAATTTTTCACCTCACTGTCCCAGCCCATATCCTAGCTGTCTCACTGTCTCTAGCCCAGCTCCTTCAGCCTTTCACCTGTCCTTTATGTCTCTCACTGTCCCAGCCCAACCTTCAGGTGTTTACTCACGTCCACCCAACCTTTGTCCTCACTGTCCCATCCTATCTCGAGATGTTCTCAACTGTCCCAGCCCAACCTTTCATGTCTCTCACCGTCCTAGCCCATCCTTATGTCTCTCACTTGTCCCAGCCCAACCTTCATGTCTCTCACTGTCCCACCCCATCCCTATATGTCTCTTCTCACTGTCCCAGCCCAACCTTCACGTCTCTCACTGTCCCAGCCATCCTATATGCCTCTCACTGTCCCAGGCCCATCCTTTATATGTCTCTCACTGTCCCGCACCCATCCTATGTGTCTCTCACTGTCCCAGCCCAACCTTCATGTCTCTCACTTTCACCCGTCCCACTGTCCCCCATCCTATATGTCTCTCACTGTCCCAGCCCAACCTTTTTTATGTCTCTCACTGTCCCAGCCCATCCTATATGTCTCAACTGTCCTCAGCCCATCCTTTATGTCTCTCCTGTCCCCAGCCCATCCTATATCTGTCCCAGCCCATCCTATGCGTCCTCAGTCCCAGCCTTCTCATGTCTCTCACTGTCCCAGCCCAACCATCATGTCTCACTGTCCCAGCCCATGTCTTCCTATATATGTCTCACTGTCCCAGCCCAACCTGATATGTCTCTCACTGTCCCACCCCATCCTATGTCTCTCACTGTCTCTCTCTCACTGTCCCAGCCCAACCTTTATGTCTCTCACTGTCCCAGCCCAACCTTCTTGTCTCTCACTGTCCCAGCCCAACCTTTATGTCTCTCATTGTCCCCAGTCATCCCTTGTGTTGTACATTTTTTCCATATTTGGCATTATAGTTTCAGTTTACCCCATTCAAAATGTTTGAAAATGGATATTCTCTTCTGTCTGTAAATCAAGGCCATCGTACTGTTTGAGACGTTTGTCTGTTCAGAGATACGACATTACCTCCTCGTGTACAACTTGCACAGCATCTGTTATTTTACCAAGATAAATATTAAGGCTCGTATATACACAAAGAGAGTTCTTGTGCAGACAAATATAAAGGATCATATAAATACAAAGAGAGTTCCCCTTGCGCAGACAAACAAAGGATTATATAAATACAAAGAGTGCTCTCCTTGCGTAAATATAAAGGATCATATACATACATAGAGAGTTCCCCTTCGGCAGAAAAACATTAAGGATTATATAAATACAAAGAGTGCTCTCCTTGCGTAAATATAAAGGATCATATAAATACATGGAGAGCTCCCCTTGCGCAGACACACATAAAGGATTATATAAATACAAAGAGTGCTCTCCTTGTGCAGAAAAAGGATTATATAAATACAAAGAGTTCCCCTTGCGCAGACAAACATAAAGGATTATATAAATACAAAGAGAGCTCCCCTTGCGCAGACAAACATAAATGGTTTGTATAAATACAAAGAGTGCTCTCCTTGCGCAGGCTGTAAAAATTCAGAGGTAAGATGAAAACACTTACACGTGTATGGTTCGAGTAATTTGAAAACTGCGATTTACAATATAACGTCTGTGTGAAAACATGATGAACAAACTGACGAGCGGTGGGTTTGAAGACTGGTAGAGGTGTTTCAGTCGAAGGAAACCTGAAGTGTCCTTCTATCATGAAAACAGTACAAGAATTTACACAAAATCTGGGGTCTTCCGGCTGAGTGACGGAGCAAGCAAAGTTGCAAGAGGATGACTATCAAAGTATAGATTTAGTTTGGGATGAACCCCTGACTTAAAACAAACCACAAGGAAACTCTGAATACACAATACCATTTAGAAAGTGGTCAGATGTAACACATGTTATACTTGGGATTACACTTTCTCAGTAAAGTACAGTTTCAAGCACTTTTGTTTGGTTAAGACCCGTCCGGGATTCGAATCCACACTCTCAGAGTTAGGCGCGTTATCGCCAGCACACAAAGTCAGCCATCTCCATACCTTGTATAAAGTTGCCAATATCGCATCACCTCCTATAAAGTTGCCAATATCGCATCACCCCGTCGCCTCGTGCAAAACCGGCAATCTCTGTGTACATCTTCCGTGTCTAGTCTGTGAAATAGACATCAATACCCAACCTTC